AAGTTGTTCGTCCAGATGCTTGATTCGAAAATTATCTGGATCTGTCGTAGGCCATACGCTTTTTCCAAAGATGCTAAAAAAGACGCGACTTGCAAACGGGATGATGTAAGGACTGGTCGCGCAACGGCGCAGTCGCCGGCTTTCGTAACTGCGAAAATTTGCGGCCTCCTACCGCCAGCGGGCTTACTATAAATCAGTTGAAATTTGTTATGCGCGGCACGCAGATGGTTTTGTTATATGAAAATATGTGCCGCGCGGGGATGGCGTGTAAGTATCCCTCGGTAAAACACATCCCTTATATCCCGCGCGTACCCTCGGCCTCGGTCGCCTCTCCCCGCTCCTTACGCCCTTTCTCTCCTCCCCCTTTCCTCCCACAGGCCCGAGGCGTCATGCTGTTCTGCGCTCTCTTTAATTACACCCCAAAACCGGGACGCGTGACGTATTGCCGTGTGGCGAAAGGGACAAAAAAGCGACCTCCGCTTCGGGTTAGAGTCGTCGATCTGCAACTCGATCGTTAATCAATGCCGCAGCAATTGGTGACGTGTAATGTTTCAAAAATATGTTTTATGCATATCGTAAGAAAGATTAAGAAATCTTAAATACATTTCTCTCGTCTCACAATTCTTGGTATTTATTGAAAACTTTTAATTTATTGAAAATTTTTTTTAACACTTCTGTATTACTTTATGAAACTGTTTTAAATCATGTGTTTACGGATTGAGAATTTTCAAATAACTGCTTGTGTATTTCAACAAAAAATTCTACATTTATTGATTTGCTCTAAACAGTCTATGCAAACTTGAAACTTGTCGCTGAAATTTCAAAAGGTATAACATGACAGATTTATTAGAAGAAAGTTGAGTCCGGCGATGGAGGAGTCACTTAAAATGTTGGCCCGGTCAGCGCTAAATATTTGATCAGAATTCGATTGGTTTAAGACGTCAGCCGATAAGTGAGGGTGCGCTCATGGGACGAGCGAAAGAAAAAAACCAAGAAGGAACTCAACGAATGGACAGTCAGTTAGTAGCTAGACGACGGAGTATTCCCTCGAGCCGAACAGCAAAATGATATCCAACCAGACAGCTCAGCTGTCTTAGTCACAGTATTCTTTTTTCTGTGCCTGTATAAAACTGGAATTGTATTTAAAATTTGTCTTTATCTTTTATGCTTTCTCTATTATTTTATCTCTCTCCTCTTCTATCTTTTGCTTTTCTTTGCGCCATAATGAAAATTATGAAGCATAAGGCATAAAAATATAAAAGAATCTATTTAACAATTACTTAGAATACTTATTTATTTATGAATAACGCTTAAGTCTTGACAATAGCAAATAAGAAAAACACGAAGCTCGAATTGCAAAATTCATGCGAATCCATGTGGTGCCAAGTGGGGTGCATTAGCCAAGTTCCCCATTATCCACGCGTGAGAGAACCCTAAATTATCCGGCGCTCGCCTAGTGCCGATCTCGCCCACCCTCGCACGTCGGCGAGAAAAAGACGTATGACCGTCTTTTCTTGAGAACGCCCCCCCGACAGGCTCCGGCGTGAAGTCACCAACGCGTAATTCTCGCAATTGTAAGAAATTCACCATGTATCATAAGGCAAATTATTTGTATCGTCATTATTTTCGTCAGATATTGTCTGTCATCGATTATCTGTCTTTGTATTTTATTCAATTTTCTTATTGTTCCATTAAACTGCTATTGGAGAGTTTTTTTAAGAAAAATTAATATTAATTTGTGTCAAAAATGTAGAAATTCTAACATATTCACTATAATTTCAACACAATTGCTGTAAAGCTGAAAATTTTCCAGGATTTTATAAACAATAATAGAATCGATAAAGAAAAGACACACTAAAACTAGAAAACAGAAAAAGATTAGAGAGAGAGAAGATAAAGAAAGAAATTATGAGCAAGAGGAAGAGGAAAGGAGAAAAAAAAGAGATTTGCGTGCATGCATATAAATACAGGAAATAAAGTACATAATAAAGTACAGAATAAAAGAGGAGAAAACAAGAGCAGAAGGACAATGAGAAAAGAAGGAAGAAAGGGCGGGAGGCGGAATCCGAAGAACCGCCAGGAAGATAGAGAACGCAAGTTTGGGCTATCTCTCCGAACACAGTTCCAAGGAGCTTCCTTTAGACTTTAGTGACGTGACGTCGCCTAATACCCTAATCTCTGCAATGGAGGCACCATCGTCCGCCTCGCGTTGTCATGTTCTGTCTAATCATCCTCTTACCTATGCTGCAGTATGGTCGGCATACGTTAATTAATTGACGAATACAGATTCTCAAATGTTCAAACTTTCTTCGTGTCTGTTCTAGTAAAACGTGTAGTAAATATTTGTTTAACTATATGCTGAATTGTACAAACTGCTTAAAATGTTTTAGCATTAAAAACTATGTTCTCAATATACTTTGCAACAGCTAACAATATTTATATAAGTTTCTTTACGAAAAAGTTACATGCTCGTATAATATTTAGAATATTGCAAAAGCAGCTTTTTTCTATTTTTCTCACAATAGAAATTGAATTTACATGGTAAAAATATACACAGTTATAATTTTGATTTTGATATATATATATATATAACTCTCTTAATCTATTTATGATAAATTTTATATCAAAATTTAGCGAGAGAAATTCTATTCGAAAGAAATTCTATTCGATAATCTGTGTTATCGAAACTGCTATAATGAGCAAAGTAAGAACGTACATTCGACGCCTCGTGTGATATTAGAGACGCTTGTAGCAGAGATGATGCCTTCGACGGAGACTTCGACGGTCTCGAAGATGTTTCTTTTTGCGAGAATTTAAAGTCAACCTTTACGTAGTACATCTGCAGGGCTATTCATCCGTACGAGAACTACGCTTGCTTTCTAATTATTCCCCACAGACCGTAAGGGATGATACGTAATTGGAGGGTGGACCAGGACGCATCGATCCCCAACTCGAAGGGATTCTAGCTCTTTCTTGCGCCGCATTCCCGCCACTCCCCCTTCGTCCGACTCTCGCCCTTACCCAGTGCCTCTGTCGAAGGCCAGTTTCAAGAGCATCGGTCCGCAAAGAAAAGTGATAATGTCTTAAGCCGTCGGTGCGATTTAACTTCCGATTTTGGACGAGGGCACTCCCGCCGTTCTCTCTCCGCGATCCTTAGCAAGAGAGTTCGTTGCTCTAAACTCCCGGCTACGTGGTCTGAGGAGGGTTTAAGGTTTAAGGGAAGCTCTCTCATTCCTTGGGATCCTAGGGAGCCCCGCTAAGCGCTGACGCTGATCCTGTTCTTCTTCTGCCTCTATCACCTCCAGGAGCTCGGGTTTATCTAATTCCAGTTGTAGGTTCCTCCTATCGCTGTAAACCTTACGAGCGCACCAAAGGGTGAATGTTGCGCAGTTAAAGACCTAAAATCTTACAAGACATCCGAATAACTTATCAATTTGAAGTAAGGAAATTCTAAAGATAGTTATTTCAGTATCGAATTCAGCAGAATGAAACAAACAATATTAAGAAAACTTATTGTTGATTATATAATTACGCTTTAAATATAATTTGCTGTAAAATAAAAATAACTGCAAGCAGTTAATTGTTATTATACAAATGTGTAAGTGTTATGTCCCCGTAGCAAGGAATTAACATATGCTATTCATTTACGAAATAATATACACGGTAATTAATCACAAACCTGAATCCGCAATGACTCTCGGCTTGCGCGAATAGATCTTACATTTATCGCCAGCCAGAAATGAAGGGAAAATTACAAATTTGCTATAAGCAAAGTTATTCCTGTCGAGACGGCAGAGATTTGATTTCTCCTTTGAAAATCCAGCTACGCGAAGAACTACGCGAGTTGTAAAGGGAGTAGACTCGCGAGGTCGCTGGCCGGGACCAATGTTGCTCGAATTCCTAAAGCGGCAAAGAGAACCAGGTAGCACGTACATACATATAGTGGCGCGGCAACTCGAAGGATGGTTAGAGGGGTGGTAGTATAGACGCGGGTGGATATAAGCGGGAGAGATGTACAGAGCACGTACCTCGACACACTGAGAAAGAGAGAGAGAGAGAGAGAGAGAGAGAGAGAGAGAGAGAGAGGGAGAGAGAGAATCCTAGGTGTGCACCCAGGAACCGCATCCCCTTTTACGATATCCGTTGACGGGGGTTGAGGTGAGCGAGGGGGATGTGCAGAGGGGCTGGGAATCGTGCTCCAGCCGAGCTCAAGGGGGTGGACAGTGCGCAGAACCCGCCCCCACCTTTCGCGACGAAGCAGAAGCCGTCGGCTGCCCGCGCAAGTCTTCATCCCCTCCGTGCACGGTGGAAGATCGCCACCCCCGAACGAACTTAAACATAGCACAGTAGCTCGCGAGCACCCCGTCTGTAAGGGCACCCATCGCGCACACCGAACCGGACTTGTTACCTATATATATATATCTATATATATCTATATATCTGTGTATATATATATATATATATATACATATAGATATCGGAGGTTTGTCGAGCACGCGTGTTTTCGCTGTGTGCATGCGCGCGTGCGTGTCACACACAGTACTTGTCGGAACATCTCGAGTCTGCCGCGAGGAGGAAGCAAGATAGTGTGCTAAAAAAAAAAAATAATACAAAAAGCCAAGCGACTATTGACCGGAATAAAGAGAAAGAAAAATATACAGACACATCTGAGCTGCACAGAATGGTTCTCCGGATCTCTGGCGACGCATTCGACGATTTTCTGCGGATGTCAGGTGAACTCTCTTGAGAGACAGTTCCTTAGACTTTGAATGCACTGTTAAGTAGATAATGGAGGGAGAGAGAGAAGTGGCCTCGGGCAAGCGCTGGGGATCTTCCGCGACGAAAGAGCGGCACGGAGTGCCTGAGTTACACGGCCTCTCTCGTTAAATTGCGCCGGCTTCAAACTCGACGACCTTGCACTCATGTACCAAACGCACCGCGTCCTTTGCGCCCGCATGGCAGAGCAGACTTGCTGATCCTCTGGAATTTTTGTGTTCCAGGGTGGAACTGACCAGCGTGCCGGGCGGACAGAATGCGATGGCTCATCTCAAAAAGCGGAAGCTGGAAGCAGAGTCGGTCGCGCAGAATCCTAAACAGACGCAGCAGTCGTCGCAACAAACGCAGCAGCAGTTGTTGATCAACAAGAAGGGCCTGCAGACGAACACGCCGCAAGAGATGGAGTCGGCTGACGCTGCCGCGAAACGGAGGAGAAAAAGCGTTCGCGACGATGATGTACGAAAGGCGATCGACGTAGTTGATCCTAACAAAATCATACCGTTACCTCAGAAGAAACGCGCGTTTACATCGGGCAACTCGACTAGTCCGGCTAGAAAATCCAGCAAACACAGTGAGGAAGTACCCGAAGACGACGAGACTCTCATTAGAGAAACGGAAGCCGCCTTGAAGAGTCTGTCAGGTAGCTGGCCCGGACCCAGAGGATCTCTCTATCAAAGAGGCAACTCGGACGAGGATAGATACGAGTCGAACTTTGAGAATCTTTTTGAGGAAAAGAAAGAGAATCCTAAATTATCGCCTTCGTCTGTATCGACGTCTTCGAGTACGAGTAACGACACCGGCTGTTCGCTGAAAGACGTGATAAGTTTTCGCGGACAGCAAGACCGATCGGGTAAGATGCAGCAGCTAAGTAAGCAACAAGATTCGAAGCAGCTGCAACACCCGATTAAAACTAAGAAGGATTTAGACAATTTATTGAAAATAGAGAACGAATGCGCGAACATTCAGTCGCAAGTCAGCAATACTTCGAGTGAGCCGCAAAAAATCAGAGCGATTTCCGTTCGTTCATTAGCGAGCAAAGAAAGAAACGACAGGAACATGGTCGGTGCGCATATCGATTCTCAAGGCAGACAATCGGACAAGTACTCGAGATATGATCCGCCGGATTTCAACGAGTTGGTCGATGATTCGTCCAACGAGCTCGAAATCGACATGTCGGATCCAACTGCCGACAAAGACGAAGGCGATCGGGACAGATCGAACGACAGAGAACGGGATCGAACGTGCAAAAATGGCCAATCACCTCAAAGCATCAGCAGGCAGCAGCAGCAGCAGCAGCAGCAGCAACAGCAGCATCATCAGCAGCAACATCAACCGCTTTACTCAAACTATCAAAGACAATATAACGATACTAACATGAAAGTCTCATCTACGGGGACCTCATCGACTTCGTCGCCGCCAGCAAACTCTCCATTTTCGGCAACGTCCGCCTTCAGGCCACCGAACACGGATCACTCGAAAGCTTCATGCCGCACTTCGTCGGTGCAAGTCGCCTCTTCGGGTATTCCGCCGATCGGTCCGTATCCAGCTTCCGCCACCTTCGTGGGATACCCGACGCCCGGACCGACGATGCCGACGCCGCAGCCTGTATCCGGTATATCGCCGACGTCGGAAAACAAACACTCGTCCACGGTGTCTCTGTTGCAATTGAAGTCCTCGAAGGAAGAGAGCCATCACGTGACGACGCACGACGTGACTTCCAATTCTGTGTCACCTAACAAGAGTCCTACCGGCGGTCTACCGTCCGTCACCAGTCCCGATTCCTCGAAACAGTACACGATTCTGCAGCCCGCGGGAGTTGGCTCCAGAGCGGCGAGTGCGATTCAAGATATTGCGAGGGAAGGGGTGGTTAGTGTCGCCGCTGTGACGAGCTGCACGACGGCGAACAACGGCAGTGCGAGCAACGTCAACACCGCGAACGCAAACGGCAATGGAGTCGGCAATAAAACAACTAACGGCAGTAATGCTGCTAATGACAGCAGCAGTGCTGCGAATCTTGCCGGAAATCCTAATGCAAACAGTATCGCCAGCATAACCATTACGACAGTGTCAACGACCACCACTACGTCCAGTCCGACAGTTGCCGCGGATGTGCCGTCAGCAAGCGGCCAGCAGGACAATGTCATGAAAATGCCAGAGAGACCTGGCGCCTTCGACAGTAGCAGGCCGGGAATGTCAATGTCTCCGTCCAGTCTTGGCAGAGGTGAGAATTTCGATGTCTTATCTATCGAGATACGAAACGTGTGTGTAGAAATGATATTTATTCAAGTTAACATTGATTTATTCGCTCAGATATCACATTGCCGAATTCAAAATTGCGATACGGAAAGTAAATAAGTGATAACGTATCATCTATATTGATAGTGATATAATAATTTCAAGTCATTTAGGATAAAATATAGCATCGCATTTTAAAATATTCATCAAAATATCGTAATTATAATTAATCGATTTCTATAAGCAGATTTTTATTAATTAAACAGAAGTTTTATTGATTATAAAAACTTTTTATAATATATTTACACTTCGTACGTAAGATTCATGAAGAGAGATTCTCTGAGAGAGATTTTTTTCTCTGTTCGCAGAAAATAAATATAAATGATTCGGGCTTATCTGAGATAGCATTAATTTAATTCTTCGATTAAGAAACGCTGCACTTTTTAAACTTCCGTGAAATACGAATGCGCGCAAGAGTTTGAAACTTTAAATTATTGGGCGGACATAGTAATCGTAAGTCGTAGTAGGGTTACCGTTCGTGTGTTATATGTTACGAAAGGGGACAAAAGGCATTTTCGACTCTCTCGCTTACGCCGTTTCTCGCCCTTTCCTCTCTCTTTCTCTCTCTCTTCCCCTTTCCCTCTCTTACTCACGTCTTCTCTGTCTTGCTCTCTATGAAGTTAGGGGAGTTAGGGCAGCACGGAAAATCAATAATTACGAAGCGAGGGGTGATGACTCAAATGCTGAAATCAAGGTCTCTTCGAGCAAAATTATTCTCCGTGTCCTATGATACAGTCATTCCATCCTTGTTTCCGTCGTTACTCTTTTATCCGCCTCTCTCTGATTACATCACACGTTTTCCGATTGTTGCGAAATGTTTTCGTTACTAGAGACTACCACGCTTCAAATTAGTAGAATTTGGTAAAACATCTTTGGTGAAACATATAGAGCTTCAACTATACTCACCATCTGTAATAAATATGAAGAAAATTTTGGCTTCACAAGTTAGATGCATGATAAACGCGGTCTTTCCTCCGCGAAGAATCAAAAAGCTACCCCTCACGCGTCACGCTGTAGATGCGCCATGGTGTGACAGGTGGAGGCTCGAGTGCATTCCAGGGTCTTAGGGCAGCGAAGACACGACGTGTCTAGTCGGGGAAATTTGGGGTTGATACCACGTCATACGTATAAGCCGCAGCTGTCAGCGGCTGGAAACGTGACTAGCATCCCAGTCGCTCCAAGCCACCTTATTACCACCCTACGCCTGGCTGCCTGTCCTCATTATCCCCTTAACGTTTTCTCCGGCCAATGCCTGCGAAGATGATCGCTTTCAAGAATTCAATCTGCCGCATTTGATTTCTCGCTTATCGCAAGACAAATATGTGAAAAATTAATTGGATCAATAATAGGATTATAATTCCGATAGAGAGATGATAAATAATTTATTAAAAAGTGCGCACAATCCTTAGCGTTTTAATCGTCCATCGGCATGGGCGACTAAAATAATTGCTCATTGCGAAATCTTAGATAAGACTACGCGACATGATAAATGGGCTCGATTAATCGCGCACTTATCAGCGTGACGGCGATACTGCCATAACGGAGTCGGTCAAACGGGGGTTTTAATCGAAAATCCATCTCCTCTCTTTGTCGCTCTTTTTCTCGCTGCCGAGAGTCGCTCTTGATTTCTTCGATTTAGCGTGACGATCGCGTGCACCTTTTTTTTTATTCGTCACGTGCGCACATGCAGGCGCGTAAGAGCGTGTTGACACGCCATAAAACCGCTATCGGGAAATCCGTCGGCCGCAAAAACCACCCTTTCCGCATCGAGAAAGACCGGCCGCGCGCGGCGGGGTCGAGCCGGCTAATAAAAAAATAAACTGCCCTGTAACTCAATTTTACGCTGCCTTTGCGACCGCACGCATAAAAAGGACCTTTACTCGCGCGCGAGGGCTCTACCCTCCCTTTAAGGGCGCCGCGCGCCTCCGTGTGTAAATACCTACTTTGTGATTGTTCCTCGCGCTGTTCTCTTTTTTTAGAACCTCCGATCGTTTCCTTATCCAGCGTGTCCAGCGTGTCTGTGATTCAATGCAGGGAAATGCTGGAAAACTGTTATAGGCGTCGAGTATCCTACACGATTGAGTTTTGCGCAGTTTTATACTGCTTTTATCTCGCAGATACGTACAGAATTGCTTAACATCTCATGCGATTAAGTTTATGTTATGCTATTGTATCGCTGTTGTACTCTCAGTACGCTACAAAATAATTATTTATCTTTGCTGATTATTACAGTTTCTACGAAGTACATTCCGTTATTCTGATAAAACTCAATGTCATGACAAGCTAATGTTTTTAGAACAAAATGTAGACGCGCGCATTAATAATATCCGTATTTACAAAAACGCTTCGTGACATGCAACTTATTAATTTTTTTATTTCTTAAGAGTCTGAAGAATTAAACTATCAATCAATTATATTAAAGGAAAAAATACTAAATATTACAGATTGTTAATAAATTGATCACCGAATACATTGGATTGCGCACTATGAAATACATTTAATTACGTCAATTACATATATTCAATGTAATCTCTCCTTCTTACTTAAACATCGGCGAAGCTAAAGTATTAAAAATACAAAAATTGAAATTAAAATTTCAATTAAATAATGTGCAAAATAAATCAAATTTATAATATAATCTAGAGCGATACAATTTACATATTATTATGAATGTGCACTTGCATTTTGAATTAATTGGCTCACTCGAATATTCATCCGTAACATGTGAATAGTCAATTACTCTGATTAACGACTTTTGACGGCGAATTAATAATTAGCAACCGACGGACGCTCAATTCTCCTCGATTATCTTGCGACGGCGAGGATTTTTCGCGGTTGAACGTTTCGGCGCGTGTCGCGCAAGCTGGCCGAATAAAACAATCCCGGTGTTTATATACACAACTACCCCTTCCACGAATCCTCACGTGAAATGGTTACAAAATAACACAATTACAACGCGACCACGGACTCACCCTCGGCGACCAGCGCTCGTCCTCATTCTCACCCCTTGATTCCGCTCTTTTCTCTCTTCCCTCCGACTCTCGTTGCTCCATTACAGCACGCTGCAGGGAAAAAGAAGCGAGAAGAGAGGGTTCGCGATAGAGGGAAAAAGAGGATAAGATTGGAGGAAGAGAAAGAGAAGAAGGAAATAGCGAAAAAGAGTGAGAGAAAGATGGCAGGAGTGAAAGCAGGTCTGACCGACTCGTTACAAGTCTATTCAGACGGCCGGAAAGAACAGCGCGTGCCGGTATTCATTTTGTTGACCGGAACCATTATCTGCCCCTTCGCTCTTTTTTTTTTTTCTATCTCTCTCACTTTTTCTTTTCACCCCTGAGCTTAGCCACCGACGTGGCCGTTTTAAAACCTTACGGCTAATTTATTAATCCTACCAGGGCAACCGCTCGCCCTCAGTTATCCGGTGAACCTTTTCTACCCGGCGCTAATTAAAAACCAGGAAGCTCCGGCGATCCTTTCTCGAAATAGAAATAACACCGATTTTCTCTATCGCGAATTTTATGAGATTCGTGATGAGATTATGTTCGTCCATCGCCGCTATTTATTTTCAGCTCGAATGAAAATCGAGCGCTTTTTTTGACTTTAATCTTCGGCAAACTTTGATTTCAAAACAAAATTAATCCGCCGAGCTTCTCCTCCAAGAATTACACAGGGGTTGAAACAATCCTGACAACGTGTGCCGTCGTACAACTCCGGGACTCGAAGAGCGCCGTGGTCCGCAAATAAAGCATGCCGCTAATGACGTCACGTATCGTAATCCAATTTATAGGGAGGTGGGCGGGCGTCGCTCGCCTTAAGAAAAAGACGAGCATCTAAGTAGGGATCGACTTTCTTTCTCCATCCCTCCCGTCGGTTCTCACTTCTTCTGAGACGCGAAATGACGACCTGATGAAGTTTCTCGGCGTCACGGCGCTCGATTGGAGAGCCCCAACGTAGTTGGCTAGGGGATCAGGCCCGGACGGAGGATTAGTACACGACAAAGTTTATAAAAGTGCGCTCACTTCAGTAGAACCCCCGTCAACTAACCTAAAGCTGGTTTCCCCTTAAGGGGCTCCTCCGCAATCCCCTAACACACGTGACAAACCTACCTATGTTTCGTTAGGCCCATTATGTACCCAGAATGATGTCCGCTATTCAAGTAGCCGCACACCAGGGAACCAGATTCGTGAAAAAATTTCTCCATACGATACTATACATATATATATATATATATATATATATATATATTTACAATTTTACTTTTATTGTATACTTATTTATATTATTTCTAATATGGAAATGTATAGATATAGTTTACAGATACAACACAGTTGCAGGAAAATTCGGAATGAATAAGATTATGATAATATTAGTTGATATATAGCTTTCAGCACTGATCATGTCGTCTAATTCTAAGGATTGGACAGGAACCTTTAGCCACATTTATCGTTCGCTATTGAAATAAAAAGAACCTTGCCGAAGGGGCTCGTATTAACCGATTGGTACTTGTCGGCTACCTGCAGTGCACTAGAAACCCGTAATTGTCTGGTCACGCGAGGTCGCCGCGGGAATATGAACGCGATCATACGTGACGTGCAGTATACCCACCATTATGTTACAGCTAGTATGCGACAGATGGTACAATTGGTCGTTTGGGTATGCTTGTCTGGCACCGGTTGTAGTTTCGTGTTACCGCCGTCGTAAGAACAAAAAAAAGGAGGCCTTAAAAAAGTTTGGAAAAAATTTGCAATTTTCCGACGCAAATTGTCAAATAATACAGACGTCTGATGGCAAGGATTGTACATCTTCACTAAATAGCTTTGACAAAGCATCGTGCCATGCGTGTCTGTAAAAGCTCATTCAAACGAACAGAATTATATATTCGCCAAACAAGTCTACCGACTATTATAAGGAATGGTGTTTTAATACCTTCTCCACTCGGATGAATAATATTGATGATAAATAATGGATGATATAGAAAAACGTATTTCGTGTTAAGGTTTAATGTATAGATAGCAGGGACGAAATATCACGTGGCGAAACTTTTTTCCCGATCGCTGAAAGTTTCATTCTGTCACATGGGAATGAGGTATCTATCTGTTCTTTGTTTCGCGGACAGTTGTAGGCCGGCCACATACCCCGTGCTAATCCCGAAGGCTTAGTCACGGGACAGAGAAATCCCAGAGGCTATTCACAAATGCGTAGCTCGTGCGACGAGATCCAGACTGACCACACGCGAGGCCATTTCTACCCTTCTGGACCGTCCTTTCAACTTTCACTTGGGACCTCTCGTCAGGATTGGGGAATCTCATCCTGAAAAATGCTATTAAATAGAATGCACGCCTAAGGCGATACAAATTTTTGAAAATCTTTTTTCGAAACATTACAAAAATCCGACACGGACAGATATTTTATGATAAATTATTTTCTCTCTTTATTTGGAATATTTGGAATATAAAAAAACATATTGATATATAAATTTAAAAACATTTATGAATTTCCTTGTCAAATTAAATTTGGCGAGGCAGCTCTTTCGAATGTACTACAATTATATATTTGCAAATATGCTTGTAAGCATGAAAAGAATTTAACAATTCGATTTTTGTACTTTATAAATAATAATACAAAGTTGAATTAATCTTTATTCTGATAAATTTAACTAAGAAATAAAATTCTTACAAATAAGATTTTAATACGAAATAAATGTCTGGTTTGCACTTGCTCGTAGAGTCTTTCGCCCCCGACTGTTCGTTTTCTGCAAAGAATAAGGTATACGTGATATTGGCAAACGGGGAGTAAGCTATATTCTGGTTCGATGTACAGAATGAAACTACGCGACGATGTCGGACACGTCGGCTGTCAGCCATTCAATAGTTAATTTCCATTCAACTGCACGCGTCACTGGCAATACCGTGCAAGCATACCAAAATATACCACATTATTTTTTCAGCTCATACATTTTTCTGTGTTCTTTCAAAAGTTATGCTACTAGAATGAATCGCACACACATTTTCTACGTATACACATTACTTATATAATTTTAATATAATATAAACAAATATGACCATTGCTCAAGAGTTTGTTTGACAAGAAGTAATTTCTGGGGAACATAAATTTGTACATATTTAATTACTATCTATCGTACTTTGATAAACATTATGTTATCAATTATTTATTCGTAATTTGATATTATATCCTTCTTTGCATACAATATATTTATTGATCAAAAAATATTGTTTCGTGAATACAGTGCTGAGCTCATTATCAAATATAAAATATGAACTTTGCTATGTCTCCTCGCTTAAAGTATCGAGTCATACGCGCGTTCGGATGACAGAGTGAAAGTGGATTGCGTTCAGTATTCTCGCGTCAACCGACCGCGAGTGCAAGATTATGAATCCAAATGCAATAATAACGTATTAATACGTATTAAGCCGACGTCGGATTCCGGTCGACACGTTCCTGCCGCGAATAACACTCGCCGACAATGTAAATATCCAATTTATTCAGAATTACAGCCCGCTTGTGTCGTGATCATCAATTTCGGTGCAGAAATAACGCGACGCAGAGACGGCGTATAACACCGCACTCTTGATTTCAACGCAATGCATAATTAATAATATCAAATGTAATGAGTTCCGTGTCTCAATATCTACGTGTTACACTTGAAATCCCTTGCAGAAACATTAATTGACACCAATAACTTTCAAATAAATTCTGTATTCTGTATTTTTTTACGCGGATAAAATATGCGCAAACAATTGCTTACACATCTTATATCTATAAAATTATAAATCCGAAGCTGTTTAAGCTTATTTGCGGAGATAATCTGTAATGATACAGCTCTCACGCAGATATTTCTAGATCAAATTTCATCTTTATACAACATTGAAATGTGAATTAAATTAGAAATCGCACATTTACTGATTGCAAAAGCTCGGCTGAAGATTAGCGTATATCGTATCTCACGAATATCTGAAGCAGCATTCAATAAGCTACATCAATAGGCAGCACTAACATCTGGTTCTACGTGGCGGTTTGATTTGTTACAGAGGGCAACAAGTGCCCGACCCCAGGCTGCACGGGGCAGGGTCACGTGACCGGACTCTACTCTCACCACCGCAGGTAAGCAATTATCGGTAATTAACCTGCGCTCTACACTCAGCCACGGCCGATTACACACCTACGCGGTTTTACCGCGTCCGGAGAATCGAGCGGGGCGTTATACGAAACCGACGTCAATAAGCCAATTCGTGATCTACATGTTGGATTCTGTATAACGTTAAAACGATAAATGCGCGCGTGTCGGGCATATCATATCTCGTAGAAGATATAGAATAAAAAAAAAGAAGAGTTTTCAATTTGAACGCATGCCCGAGGCTGCACGAGAAAAATCAATTAGCTAAAGTTTTTAATTTTAAATATTATTAATCAATTTCTCCTTCTATGTGCTTACAGTCTTTCTGGATGTCCACAGAAGGATAAATTAACTCCAGAAAGTAAGTACTTTTTTTATCAAACTAATTATTTCTTATCGTAGCTATATAGTGCATCTTCTTTTTGCGAGAGTGTCTTTTTCTCACAGCAAGGCGAGGAAGTGGAGAGTGAATCGTTGGAGTGAAAATCGCTTTACATTTCACAGTTTTATTAACTATATAATTATTTCATTAATCGTGTAACAAAATAATATAATTCTCAAATTTAATCAAGAATTTTTAAATATAACCGTATTTATATAAATATCTGCACTTTCCACATATTTTTTAAACGACATTTATGAAAAGTTTTTAATGTACCTTTGTTTTATGATTTATGAATTGACCACTTGAGAATTTGCTATAATTTTATAGTTATATTTTATAGTTAGATTATAAGAGAGTTTTTTCATGTTTTTTTTTTTGAAAAGAGTTTTTTCTATTTGTTTTTTTTTTTTTTTCTATATAATTATTTCAATTAATCGTAGTAACAAAATAATATAATTCTCAAATTTTAATACAGAATTTTAAATATAATCGTATTTATATAAATATCTGCACTTTCCACATATTTTTAAACGACATTTATGAAAGTTTTTAATGTACCTTTGTTTTATGATTCATTAATTGACCACTTGAGTAATTTGCTATAATTTTATTAGTTATTATTTTATAGTTAGATTATAAGAGTTAGGTTTTTTTTTTTTGAAAAACAATTGGAATATCTTGTTTAATTTAGCTTGCTTACTCTCCAAAACATTCTCGATTCATCGATCATGCACAAAAGACCATTGTTCTCTGTGACTTTCTCGCCTCATTGAACGCAACAAAAATGTATCTTCCATACATGATACCGAATTAGAAAGAGAAAATGGATATTTTTCAACGACGAGCGCGGTGCACGCGTCACGTATGCGTGTATGCGTGTTGTGTGTGTGTGTGTGTGTATATCTGTCTGTTGTATTCTTTGCGCTTTTTGTTTGCGGGGTAGAGAGCTTTATTTATTGCGTTCTTTTTCGTTTTAAATTACGATTCTGTTCGTAGTTCATTATAGTAGAGAATTATTATCACCACACTCGAACTTGGTTTATATTGGTCGTGCCTACGAACCCTCTGGAGAACTCGAGACACGGGCGGCGCGACGAGTCCGGCGTATGCGCACATTGCCGAGCATTTCACACAGAGGACACATTGTGCGATTGAGTATAATTACGCAACGATCGGTCGGATGATCGAGCTTCCCATCAATGTGCGAGTTTCCGCAACAACGAAGATAATGATCCCCGTTAACAAGAAATAGAGTCGCTGCGCAGAGAATATTGCGTGGCTATCCGCACACATTGTAGACGTACAATTTTCATTTCTATTTATGGTAAGCTTGCCCCCTTCACATCGAGATCGTAAAATCTTTCGAGATATATCGATTTTTTGCGTCCGCTCGCATTTATGTACAATGGACAAACATTTTCATAACACACTCCCTCACACAGATTGCAAGTTGTTGTGTTATAATTTTCTATCGATTAATTGATTGTCTTTACTTGTGTTTCTCTCTACCCGCTCAAAAGTATACTTGATTGTACTGTTACACGTTAATTTGCGTTTCACACATGGTGTAACGCTGTGTACTTTGCCTCTTACACTCTGATCGTTTTACGTTTTTCGTTTCCTCTCTTTTTCAAATCGTGTATCACATACAGCTGCCTCTCTTTCTCTTTCTCTTCTCTATTCGGGTTCTTTTATTCGTTCACCAGTGAATCGAGAGACGACTTACCGTCGCATACAGAGCTGATTCCATTTTTCCCTCTTTGCATTCTCGTTTCTCTCGGAAAACACGCGGTGCCCAACGTGCAGAGATAATTATACTCAACGCATAAAGACAGCTCGCCTTACAACACCACCTGCCGCGTGCGTGTGCGCCGCGTCTCTCTAATTGTGTGTGCGTAAACGCGTGAACGTGCCAAGACGTGTCTGTAACCACGCCGCGTGTCTCTGGGTTCTCGCAGTTCTGGCGATGCATGAGACTATATTGAAATGCCCGACGCCTGGTTGCAACGGCCGCGGTCATGTCAGCTCCAACCGGAACACGCACAGGAGCCTGTCCGGATGTCCCATCGCCGCGGCCAATAAGCAGGCCGCACGCGACGCACGACACAAGGCTCAAGGTAAGGCGGCATAGGATCTCTCGTCGTGCGTGTCCAGCATACAAAAATCCTCGCTGCCTCGTACGATTAAGATACAGGATAGAGACTGTAATTTTCTGCGTAAGATACACATCTCGTATTTCGCAGTCTGTTGCGCTCGTGCGTGCCATGGTTGCTATCGCTGATAGAATTGCGAAAGTAATAATTGCCAATTGTTTTAAATATGTCGAAAATTATCATGTATATGTGCAAATTATGCCACAATTTTTCTAGTATTTTCGAAATTCTACATTTGCGTCTATTTTGTTAAATTTGGTGGGTATTTTATCGTTAGTTTTACATAGATCTCCCGATTGGATTTGAAAAATTTAGTTTAACATCAATGATTCAATAAAGCAATAATTCTATTTATTCATTACACGCCTTACGCGAAATAAAAAAATTGTTCGATTGTTCCTCCCCTTAAACCATGCTATTGCAGATCTTTTCGCAATCGATAGTTGCATGCTACTTGATATGATATCAGCTTACAATGCTTTTTAATAGAAAAGAGTAGTATTTAATTTACGAAGATCACTTTTCGTAGCGACATTTCAAGTCCGTGAAATTCTCTATCCCGCGCGACAAGTATCTATGCAATTAAATACTCAATCTTTTGCGACAGTGCCAGGAATACCACCAGAGTACATCAGCACGAATCTACTACCCCCATCAATGGACGCGAAAAGTTATTCACAGTACGGCTCCACGACACAAGACACGAAGCCTGTGCTGAGCAGCCTGACCTACGATTATTATACGTCGACGACGAAGAATACCGGGATTAACGCGAAGCCGCCGAAAACGCCGGAGGACAACAGCACGTCGCGTCCGGCAAAGGTACCTAAAACGGAGAACATGACTCTCAGCAGCAGTTGTTGCAACACATTATCCATGAGAAACCAAAACACGGGTGAGCTTCTGGTCCCCAAGACGGAAGACGCGGCGTCTTGTAGAGTGAACTCGCCGCCGCCGCCGCCGCCGCCCGCGGTGCGACAGACGTACGATTCTTACATGAGTCAAGACTCCAACTCCTCGTCCCTGTCCTCCATGGACGCGATGGGCTCGAGGCCATCCATAGGAGCGACGATCCATCATCCTAGTCAGCACCCGACGCATCATGTCCTGCCGATGCAACCAGTTGCCTATCCAATGCCGATGGAGGACACCAGAATGAGCCATCAGATGTCTCAGAGGTCTCCTTATGAGCCCACCGCTATGATGGCCGCGGCGGCGGCCGCAGCGGCTGCCGCAACCACCACGGAGGAGCTTTATCATCACAGATCGGCTGAGCACGCGAGGGCGTACATGCATCCCGGAGCTAGCAATATCGCGCGGCCAGTGGTGACATACTCGAATGATATCGCGGCTGGCAGAGGCTACGAGAACGCGGTGGTCAGCGCAGCGAATCATCGACCTTACGATCCTGGTACCACCGCGACTTACGAGAGATACGACACGCAGTCGTGCGGGCCTATTCCGTCGCAGCAACAGCAGCAGCAGCAGCAGCAGCAGCAGCAGCAGCAACAGCAGCAGCAGCAACAGCAACAGCAGCAGCAGCTTCACTCGAGAGCAAATATGTATTATCTCGGACAAACCGGCATGACACCGGAAGAGCAGGAGCGAGTTTATCATCAAGAAGCTGCGGCCGCGCAGCAGCATCAGATGGCAATGGCCGCAGCCACGGCAGCCGGAATGATAAAGACCGAAGATGGTAACTTGTGCGAAAACGTGTCCACGTGTATTCAAAACTCGCGCATAACTGAACGTTGCGTATCTGTGGATGTTGCAGTGAAATGCGTTACGGTCGCGCAGATGCAGCAGATGCAAAAGCCTGGTGGACCGCCTACTTCACCCGGAGGATCGGTGATGGATTTGTCTACCTCCAGTGTTACTTCTACAAGTCCGCAGGTCAGTCGAAGCAAAGTTTGGTGTGTGCGAAAAATTTCATTACAACGATCTGTTGCGTTTGTTAATAACGATTGATTTTACAGGCACCTCCCTACGGTTCGAACAGTCTCAGTCCGCAATATGGAGGAGGACAAACGGTAGGAAGTAGCCCTCAAGCTGCTGCAAGCCCCCACTTGACGGCTAGTCCTCAAGTTCCTAGTCCCCAAGGCCAGACTCTCGACCTTAGCGTCAACAGGCTTCATAGGTAATTTTTACATTACAAATAACAAAAATAAAACTTTGAAATGTCGAGTTAAAAGAAAAGGATTTATTTCTATCATTAATTTTTTCCGAAAATATATTATAAAATTGAAGGAAAAAATTCAGAATAGTTCAATGAGTAATTTAAGCTTTACGGGCTGTTTCCGAATGATACAATAAGTTTTGAAAAGCATCTTAAATCACACAGTACTTAGAAGGAGACGCGAGTATTTACTTTTACTTTTATTTCTGCTGCAGCGGTGCGCCCAGTCCGCAATATTCCACTGGCCACGGGGAAGCTGTCGCGGTTCCAGTCGGTCCGGGTTTCCCCGCGCCACGACCTATCGAAGAGCAGACCGAGCCCGTTGACTTTTCAACGGCGAACGAGCCGGTGAATTTCAGCGGGGGTCCGGGGATCAGACCTGTGCCCGGGTTTCCGCCGCCTGGTGTGCACGTCACGGCGTACAGTCGCGAGAGCACGCCCGACAGCGGGGGCTCCCACTACATGGACGCCTACCGAGATCCCACTGGTAAGTTGTCATCGTTTATTGCGTAACTCCGCGGACAATCTATGATCCATATTTCCGAAGACGCTTTATGATCCGCGACTGCTTTCTTTTCACGGTCACAATTTAACAGCGTGATTTATTTATAAAATTTGTTAGCGCGCGAAATACGTTTTCCAAAAATATTCCGCGTTTGCGTTGATGTAGCCGGATACATTTTGTTTCGGAAGGACAGCGTTTATCGTGTTCGTGCACTTGCAATAACAGTATTGTTCTCTCGATTTCGAAATAATTACGTTTATACAAAACTTGCTGTTTGATATTTGATACCGTTTTTTTTTTTTCAATCTACAATAATTTGACGAAAATAAGCGGCCGTTTTTGGTACATACGATGTCGAAGGCAGATGAGAATAGAGCGAAAAAAATAAATATGCGCGAAAATAAGGGTGCGACAGAACGTGTCCTTAACACTATAAATTTTAGCCGGCGCATACGGCAGGAGATACACGCGAAGCGTTAATGTGTCCTTACACAGACGTCGTGTAACGTCCAGCGATAGCGGGAGCGACGAGGAGGAGACGCGTGGATGAGGGATTCGGAAGAGAACAAAGAGCCCGACGCCCCAGGGGGTCGACAAGGGTGGCGAGGGACGTAGATGGGGGTGAGGGACGATACGCGGTTACAACCGTCGAATAAAAATTCACCAGAACAGTACATGACTGCCATAATAGGCACCTATGGCCGAACTCTCATTTTCCTCGGTCTCTCTATACCTTGGCATTCCAAACCCGCGGCCCATTCCCCCCCTCCTCATCCCTTCCTCCTTCTCCTTCCCTCCGATCGTCCCCGTTCCCCCCCGCGTTTTCTCCGTTTCTCGCTCCCTCTCTTTCTCTCTCGTCTCCACTCTCTCTCTATCCCTCCATCCTTCGGCCTGAATGTGCACCGTGCGCACCCTTCCCGTCGAACCACCCCCTGTGACGGTACACGGCCATTGTTAATTATCAATATTTCGCGTACACGTAGCGCCGGCAAAAGTCCGGCGCGGCCGATATTGTGCGGACTCTGACGCTGGGGAGTAGTTATTGAAATTGAAACATTCGAGCACACACAGCACCGTGTTCCCCGGCCTCGACACACACAGGGCCGCTGTGTTCACGCGACGTCGTTCGCGCGCGCACAGTCGGCCTTCCGTCCGTCGGCTATTTGCACTGCGTGCTCTCTCGACAAAATGAATTCTTGCCAGTAAATAAACGTGTAGATTTTACAACAGTTAATCAAGCAGCGGCTTGCTCCTGTAGTGTGCCTGTGTTCGCGCTATTTCCGCGTCTCCCGTTCGAGCGCGATTACATGGCACGCATGTACGTATTTATACCCAAGTGTCCCAGAAATCGTACGCTTTCTCTGTGTTATAAAAGTCAAAATAAGGATAATACTCTTGGTTTGTAATTCTTTCAATTGATATTCATATTCATAACCGATTGATCAATTTTACGAATTAAACTTGAAAGAGCTAAAAGTAAAAATACATAAAAAATCTTATTCTTCAATACATTTTAAATCGATATTTTACTATAAATTTATCTTTTCACATTTAATTACCGAAATACTTAATATAGGAATTTAGAAATGTTATTGAAATTTTTTTATTAAAAGAATTAATTAAAAATTTATCGAAGAATATGTTAGTTTGAAAGATTGTGTGTAAAACAATATAATTACAGAATTAAGAGTTTGGCAGTTATAATGACGCATCGTACACAGAAAGCAGAATACTTTTTATTTATTATAATATTTTTATAATAATTCTATAAAATTATTAGTATGACTATTATTTTATTTATGTGATCTCTCGATCGTTAGGTTACGGACCCATGAGTCCTCATCCAGGATATGGGATGACTGGCGTTCAACCCGAATATCCGGGAAACACCTATACCCCTTACCCCACTGCAGGTTACAACTGCGGTGGAACTTATCCGGGTGGCCCAGTGACTTCCGGTTATCAGATTCCAGCGGGTTATACCCCGGCACCGTGCTACAGCATGCCACCCCCGCAGCACACGGTCGGACCCCTCGATAAACCGTCCGGCAAGGACGACAGGTAGGATATCTTTTTATCCCTTTTGAGTGGACCATCGCGATTGTAATTATTGATAATATCTTCGGCTTATTGTAAACTTTTAATTTCATACTGTGAATATGATTTCGTGCTTGCCAATGAGATAATCGAAACAGTCATTCTAAATGTCAGAGTAAAACTTTGTTTTTTTAAATAGCCAGAGTAAAACTTTGTAAAGATTTCTATTGATTTCGATTGAAAATACTGCATTAAATCTGTCGTTGGAATATTCTCACCGCGCATCGTAACGTTTTCCATATGACTCTCCGATCGTAAGCTTATTCTCACATCGGATAAATTCGACATGTTTCAATAAAATCTATTCGACAGTCATATTTAGCGTTACATATGCGATGAGAATATAAATTATTATCTGTAGCGTGACGTAGCAATGTTAGAGAATACGTCCACACGTCGTGCAGGCGAGCATCGTGAGCTCTCGCCTTGGTACTTACTTGCCTTGCGGAAAGGATCGCACGAATCCTTCACGCGATAGATTCGTGGCCGAAGCTCGAAAAGATGTGGAGGCGGCGGCGGCGGCTGAGCGGCGGCGGCGGCGGCGGCGGCGGCGGCGGCGGCGGCTAGCATCGGCGATGGAGGGCGAGAGGAAAAGGGGCAAAACTCGCGCATACCCACCTCCATTTTGTTAATTAAAGTAATTACTCTTCGTACCGAAAGTGCCAACCTTATTCTAATTGACGTGAAGCTCGGCGGTATGGAGAAGGCGCGGTTGCGCGTATAAGAAGAGAATGAGGATGAGGCTCGAGTGGAAGGCGCGCGCGCGCGGGAAAGGGGGTTGAGTGGAGCGAGGGGGGTTTGTGCGGAGGGGCGAGGCAGGGATAAGGTTAAAATAGGAGGTGGGGTATAATCAGTTGCCACCGCACTGGATTATGGGCCGAGACCCGGCGCCGTCCTCCGCCGTTCCCCGCCGTCAGAACCCGGAGCACACATCCTCGGCTACCTCGAGGCAAAGTTGCTTTCGTCCCTTTTGTAACCTTACCGCCATCCAAAATTCGATATATCGCGTTCGTCACAAATGTCTCCGCGATGGAGATGAAAACGCGACAGTTACGAATTTCAATTCTGTTAGAAATTGGAGAACGTGATACTATTGGCAATATACATGCATTTTTTACATATTATGTATTATACGATACTGCAAGAGAGAAAAATGTAACGTCACGAGATTTTGTCCCGTCGTACAACATGAAATAAATTTCAATTTTAGTTTCACGTCGAAAGAATTAATCTGTAATATTAACTTTGGATTATAATATTGGTAGGATATTTTTTTACTCTTTAAAGATGATTAGATGATTTCATTAATTTTCTAATTTTACTTTTTTTACAAATAGTCACTGATATAATCTTATCAACTGGATTGTGTAATAAGTCATTTCGGCGTTTTAAAATAAATCTGTCCACTTTTTTTGTCGGACAAAGCGCAGTTTGATTAACACGTAAATTAAATATTTGTTTGCCGAAGTTGTAATCAAGTTCCGCCCGTAGCACGATTCTTTCACGTCTTTCTTGTAAGCTACGTTTTGCCTGACAAAAAAAGCAGACAGATTTATTTAAAAAATCCGAATTACTTATTAAACAAACCAATATTTTATCTTATGATATTATAAGAACTTTTCGTAATATTAATTAAGTAATGCTTAATAATAGTCATGCGATGAGATGGACGGTTTTTGTAATGATAACAAACGCGTATCCAGTAAAGTATTTTTATTCTTGTTATATAATAATTGAGGAGTTTTTTTGAAATGAAAGGTATTTTTACTTATTTCGCAATATTAATCGTTCCACATTTCTTCGTTAACTGAATTTTTATTGCAAACGCAATAACGTGGAACACGTACGACTGGCTGAAATCTCGGTAAACCCAATCTATATCCGAACTTCAACTTTATTAATGGCGGCAGGCAATATAACTACCACTACCCATCGCGTCCTAACTATATTACTGGCCCTCTCTCGAAAACATTTATTGGTACACTTTGATTCAGATCAACCGCCTGAATATATGAAAAAGTATTGTATACTTATATAAACTTATATAAACTTATATACTTATATAAACGCATCGCAGGAAAGATTTTTTCCAAGACAAAGTTATTTTGAATCTTCGTCTCTTTAAAAATTCTCGAAAGTTTGACCGTCGGAAGAGTGATTAAATTTTTCTGAAAAATTATTTACAAACATTATTTTATATACATGCTTATATTCACGCGTCAGATACCGCATGTCACAATATTTCAAATCGATTGATTAATATTTATTGAAAAATGTACGCAAAACTTTAAAGAGAGAAAATTGTATATCATAATATATATTAAACGAAATATAATGCCTTGCAAAGTTGGAAAATATCAAGTTAAAAGCTTAATTGCACTCGCGCAATCAATTTGACGCTATCAAGGTCCAAGACAGAGCAACGAGTCAGCGGAGGCTGTAAAAACGCGAAGTAGATAGGTAGTCTGACAGCGTACTGGTGAATTGCACTCAAGTCCGTATCCGTCGGCTCTCAGTTGCTCGGCAATATCGCGGCCACTCAAGGGCCATCGAGGTTTCCGAGGCTTTCTCATAGCCAACGGCGGCTTGTGCCCATCTACGAGACTAGAGATGAGATCGGAAGCAAGAGCGAGGCGCTCTTCCCTTGATTTTGGTCGGCATATGTTCCTTTGGTCTGTTCCTCTGCCTCCTCCTTCGCCCCCTCCCGTCCATTTTCCTGCTTCTCGACATTTTTTCATATCACGCTTATCACGTCGTACACTGCTCTTCCACTCGCGTCTGAGAGAGATTATGAAACGCAATTTAACTTTGCATCGCTCTTTATCTATGAACTGTACACGCTCGTATTTACGTTTGGAAAGGCAATTTATAGTTGTCGATTATGTTTGAATGTAGAGCATATCGAATTATGATAGACAATCTGTTAGAGTGCTTGTACAATTTTAACAACAGTAGCAAATTGCTGGCATTGAAAGAGAAAAGAAATAATTGAGTAGAATAATAGAACAAAGAAAGGCTATTATGAATCAATAAACACTTGCTCGGGCGGGTAGTGAGTTAATCAATTAAATGAATTAAAATTGTAAAAGCGTTTTGTTCCCACAATAAACAAAATAAACGATCGAAACGTTCATACAATTTTAATTTCTGATTGCCTCGCGCATTCGAACAACACTTCAGTGTACAAGTGATTTGTGTACAGGATTGTTAAAAAAAAAACGGGAACAAATAATGAGTAACTAAACCTTTTAATTTTCCTCAGAATAAACTCGAAGGAATATTTTGACATCGTGTGACAGACATTTAAATTTTTTGGTGATTTTGTACATGTTCTAAATAATCCCAAGACTTCTTTTCAGAAATTATGCAGTTCTGTGTATGAATATTTAATTCTATCAAACACTATCTTTTTCTCAGTCTTTCCTCGCCGAGTTTATTGCAGAATTTTAAGGATTAAATGGATTATCTGCTATTTCTTTTTTTCCTACTTTGATCGTAATAGCTTCTCTTTGTTTCGTTGATTCGCAATCGATCAAATCTTTGCAATATTTTCGTTTAATTAGACGGACAATATGTCAGTGATTCTTGCACTCGAGCAGCAAGTTAAAGAATTATATCGATGACTGAGCGATCAGCCTAGTTAGGGACTCTCGATTTGACGGTTAATATTATTCGGTGCAGTATGAGTGTGAGGAGATACTCGTTGAATTTCGCACCTCGGCCCGCCCCTCGTGGTCGCGATGGCAAGGAGCTGATACAGTGTCCCACGTCGTCCTGTGATGGCATGGGTCATGTCTCAGGGAACTACGCTACCCACAGAAGGCAAGGCACATCGACATTTACACCAAGCCTTTGACGTGACGCTCGATTATGTATATATCGATATGGCGATGCAGCACGCACGCACGCACGCATACACATATATAAATACGTAAATTTATGCTGGCCCTCTCTCTCTCTCTATCTCTCTCTATCTCTCTTTCTCTCTCTTTTCTCTCTCTCTCTCTCTCTCTCTCTTTTTAATTTTCCAACAAAGCCCTAATGTTATTTTCATCCAAAAACGTTAGATAACAAATCTTGAAACATACACGTGAAACAAACAACATCATACACACACGCGCGCGCGCGTACGCGCACGCACGCACAGATCACATACAAATACGCAGCGTCATTAAGTAAATTTGCGAATTACATCTACATGAATGGTTCTTGCATCAATGCATATTGGTGGTCCGTGGCGTAGTTGCTTCTTAAGTGTGTTGCGATACAAAACATACGTCTAGAAATCCTATTTTGTCCTAGTTGATCGGTTGAATTGTACATTTGTTCGATATTATGTTGCCACATATATCTATATATAACATACGTGTGAATATCCAGTATACCTACTATAGTTATCTTTGCATAAGTATCTACAATATATAGTCTTTATCTTTTTTTTTTTCGTTATCATGATCTAGCTCTTTCTCTTTCCTCCTCGTTTCCCACGTACCTATCTACATTACATTTTGCGATACCAAAGGTGTGTAGATGAGCCTCGTAATTGAATAAACTTTCTTTCTTTCTTCTCTTTTTTTTTTTTACCTCACTGTTTTTACCCGACCCCTACGAAAAGGGATGACAAAATCAAAGTCGCGGCATTGCGGAGGTATCGGCATTGCACAAGGCATCACCCGCTTTCGATCGCGAGACTCATTCGCTTTCGTACGCATATGTAGTGATCAATGATCTGTGACCGACTGTACCCGTCTGTTAAAAACCGCTTTCGCCAGCCTCGAGTGGGCAGCTTCGTAGCGAACTGTTGTCGATGACCATGTCATAGCAGAACTGTAAAAAGATCGAAGAAACCACGAAGCAGTGAGATATCACACTTTGTGACACACTCCGTGCAAAAGTCAATTGGCAATTGGCGAGTTTCATTGGGGTCAGGTGTGAGTGTGTTCCCTGCTCCCCCTTTCGATGTTCTTAGAGTAAGACCGATCACGGATCAACGCGATAATCCGGAAGCGCGATTGATCTTACGAGCGACACCTCATGAGTGATCCAACTGGAACACGGCGTTGCCATTTGCATGCTACCAACACGAATCCCCGTTTATCCGCCCGCATCGATCACAATCCACACGACATTCGAGGGTGTCCTCGGAGCGTAAGACTCGGACTTCCATCGTTGACGTGCACGATCGGGATCGATACTCGAACAAGAGATACGAGTCTTAAGTCTCCCTTCCCCTCCGAATGTCTTCGTTCGAACTGGACGCAAGGCAAGTCGTCCAAAACTAAATCGTACCGAAGCGTAAGTGCTGATTCGCTGCACTGATCTTAGTTAGGCAGTTTCTTGCCGTCTTCAATAAATATACTGTATATCGTAAATTATAACGGCGATTAATAATTGATAACAATATGTTAACCGGATAGTGCGTGATGTCACTTATCGTATGATATGCAGACGATTTCGATCACTCTAGCGAATAAGTTCGATGCTCATCGAGATCTAATTTCCAAGATGTTGATCGTCCTTCGAGCAGCTTAGGTCATGTGAGTACTTACGACATCGTGGCAACGTCGCGTAAAATTGCATGCGATGTATTGCTAAAACGATGGTTGGACGTTTCTGAGGTGTGCGTTCGTGACCAAAGCCATGAGGATTACCGCGTTGCAAAACTTTATCAGATATAACGACATGTTGCAGTATAATAAGAACTAAGTTTCTCCGGTATTGTAACTTTTTTCAATCTTTAAACGTGCAGCGCGCGGTCTTCATGGCGTTTTTGCAATACGTCAAAATAGAAGAAAATTTTCTTTCCTTTGCAGCCTCTCCGGATGCCCGCGAGCCGATCGCTCGCAAATCCAGGCGCATTCCCAGGAGCTCAAGTGTCCTACGCCGGGATGCGACGGTTCTGGACATGTCACGGGAAATTACTCGTCGCACAGAAGTTTGTCCGGCTGTCCACGTGCCAACAAGCCAAAGAGTAAACCTCGAGACGGTCAAGATTCTGAGCCCTTGAGGTCGGTCAATATCTTCATTTTTATCTTATTTCGAATTAAATAATTAACACGAACTATCCACATTTCCCATTTTTTATTTATCGCAGAATTTTAATTACGCTGCAGTAATTATTCCTAACTAATCGCTTTTAGTAATACTAATCGGGTGACTAAGAAAAATTATATTTAAAAACAGTGTGTTGAATTTGATTCGTTTGATTAAAGAAAAATACTCGGGAGATGCATGCACACGCAGATTGAAATATTTATTCCATTGACGAACTAAGAATAAAATTTTTCATCCATTCTTATCAATTGAAATAATTGAAAGTATAAATGTCTGTGTTAACTATTCGTGCAATATCTATTAGAAGCAATAGATAGCAAACGGCCAGCAAATTAATACGATGCAAGGGGGGTGAGATCCGAAAAGAGCGAAGGCTATCGCGAACTCGGTAGGATTTGGTTTCACGACGCGATTACATCTCGCAAGTTCTGCAATTTGAGGGTGCGGTAGTAATCGCGATCTCAATTTGCGTTTTCGTCGCGTTCGCACGTTGCACGTAGCAGCTAACGCAGGTATCTTCCCGACCGCATTGCACGTACCAAGAGCTGTCGTGCGAGACCGAAAGGGGAAATCCCGTTCTCTCGTAACCGCATCCTAACTCCCAACCCGAGTTGCACCCCGCGCAAAAGCGAAGACGCTGACTAATAACTGGCGGTTTCCGCTCGTTTCACGCTCGCTCTGTGTGGATGGATTATGTGGTGTTGGTGACGGTGGTGTTGGCATTTTGAACTACAGATGTCCAATCCCGGGTTGCGACGGATCCGGCCATGCCACTGGCAAATTCTTGTCGCACCGCAGGTAAGGCCCGTAGGCATCGTCGGAAATAGAATTGTATCCCAGAACAATCGCATGCTGTCTTTTGGACGAATAATTAAATTTTTCATAATAGTGCTTTTTACATAAATTACTAAATATTCAAGCTTGATTAAATTTACCATGATATCTATATCAATAATAATTAAATAACGGTTACTAAAATTTATATTATAATTTAATATGAAATATATTGAAGTGTAAAATGTTTATATATTATTTGTTGGTTTTTTCCAGTGCATCTGGGTGCCCAATTGCAAATAGAAATAAGATGCGAGTGTTGGAGTCCGGCGGTACCGTCGAGCAGCACAAGGCGGCAGTAGCCGCTGCAACGGCCATGAAATTCGAGGGTGTGAATTGCCCGACGCCTGGATGCGACGGACTCGGTCACATAAACGGCTCTTTCCATAGCCATAGGTCCTTGTCGGGCTGTCCGATAGCCAGCCACACCGTAAAGAAACCGAAACCGGAGGATAATATGAGCATGTACAGCAGAGGAATCACCGGTGAGGATCGAGTTGCCTCTGATGACGCCTCCGGCTGTCGATACTTAACGATCGAAGAATAAAATTGTCAGAGTACGCTGTGCGTGAGACCAATCGTTACAAAGAATTTCGATCGGGTTTTATCCAAAGATCGTTCGTGAGCTTCCCTCGCGCGCAGCTGCCAAAATTTGAAACCGCGAGATGCGATTTTCCTATCACTGCGCGGTAGAGAAAGATGTTCTAGAGTAGATAAGACAGTTTAAGTTCGCTCTCTGTTCTTTTCTATGTTTGCGCATCGCGCTCGTTCGGAATTAATCGACAACCCCTCGTCTTTATCTCAGAGTTTTGTGTAAAGAAACTGATTGCGCAACACATCGCAACACCGGTTTGCATATACATATATATATGTATATATATATATACATTTATCATCTGGACGAGCGCGTTGCTAAAACATACGAAATTATGTACCTTTCTTTATAAACTTGTGCATATTTAACCTTGTACTTGATCCCGTGCTATGCCGTACTCTGCTCTTCACGCAATGATGTGCTGTCATACCAATGAGAGTGACCTATTTCCCCGGTCCTTCCGTTTTTTCTTGACCATCAAAGAGTTTGTTTTCTTTGATTTCTTCCTTTTTAAATATGATTTTCCCATTTTTCGATCTTTTTCCTTTTCTCAGTAATAAATGTTCCAGATTTGCGAGTAAATATCGCGACTGATTAGATACAGAACGGTGAAAGAATGTCCGTGAATAGCTTACAAAAGAGAGAAAAGAAAGGAAGTACCAGAATCAAATACGATGGCCGTTAATTTACATCTCATTTTTTTTCCTTCCTTTCGATTCGGTCCCGCGCAGGAAACCTCTTCCTTCGTTATGTACAAGACAGAAAATGTAAAATCAAAAAACAACCGTATGTCTTAATGATGGAAAATAATATATTCTGATTTATTCTGGGATCAGCTCCTTTCATGTTGAGCTTGGAGCACGGTTACTTTTGAAGGTAAGGGACTGACGTATTCGCCACTTGTTTCCTATGTGTTTTCGGTGTTACATACAGAATCCACACACCAGTATTTTTACTTTTACAAGATGACGTCCGAATGCTGGCAACATTTATGTAAATATATCTGGCACAACAAATAAATAACTGTAAGCTTGTTTCTTCGCTCAGCGCACTTCGATCTGCGCATTGTGAAATTTCGCGTATTTCGACGCCAGCACTCGGTGTCTTCTGTTTTTTTTTCTTCTATCTGGTATGATGGCACCTCACGCTAATCCTCGAAACACCCCGATATCGTCCCGATCATATCACTCCTACGGCACTCCTGTCAGGTTCGTGCGTCTCTTGTTGAGTCAGAGCACACGCTTGATCGCGAACGAGCCTCAAAATATCTCTCGCTTTTCTACCGAAATGCGTATATCACTTTGGCACGAACCGTATGCAGAAGAAACCGTACCGTCCCATTCGAGATAAGCAACATTGTGCAGTGACTTAGGCCGAGCGAGAAATAAAAGAGAAATTAAATCTCAAAAACTAGAATGACATATTGCTGGATTTCGGGACATTTTATTCAGACTTTCGATCGTAAAGTATCACAAGCCGCACCGCGCCTAAGTCGCTGCCTGAACCGATCCTTTATGTAATTTAAATGCTCGCTACATTTCCACATGTATCGCGTAAAAATCCCGCAAACCTATTCGGATTTTCTTCCGATCTGATGCTTTTTGATCGTGATTGTTTAAACGAAAAAAAAAAAGAGATACCTTACGGAACGCCAAAAATGCTTCTATTTAAGTACATAGAGTTCGTTACGAGCTTCCGTTAGGCTTCGAAACTCGAATCGTACCGGTTTCCAGTAGTTTTCTCGTAAGCTGATTTTAGCATTTATCACGTCATTGTATTGTAATATATTTGTGAGAGACAAAAAGGGCGAAATGCGAGGAAACAATTTTCTGGAAACCGAGAAGTACGATTCGTTTTCGGCCTTACAACGGGCAGTCTATCAAACTGGACTATGTCTGTCCTGTCTTCAGGGTTGGAAGCCGGTGGTCCGGCTCACGGGGGTGCGGTAGGCACGGGTCAGGGTAACTCGAGCGGTGGCGGGACCGCCGGTGCTCAGAGCGAGGATCTCTATACACTGGAGGCTGAGATCACTGAGCTCCAGAGAGAAAACGCCCGGGTCGAATCGCAGGTCCTGCGCCTGCGTTCGGATATTACCGCCATGGAAAATCAGCTCAAGCAAGGAGAAAAGGTCAGTCTTTGCTCAGCCGGTAGTATACCGCTTGTTGAATAATAAGATAACAAATGGTTAAATGGCTAGATATAAATTTTAGTATATTTTCCGCGTTTGTCAAACAATAGTTGAATTTTGCATGTAACAAAGTAGCAGCCGACACTTTTTACTTTATGAACAATTTATCATACATTCCAAATAATTGCAGTGACTTATTTTTTGTTAACTTTATCACGGTAACATATCATCAAAATAACCAACTGCCAATTAGTCCATTTTGCACACTAAAAACGTAAATTAAAGATTTGCATTTATAATTAAAGAATTTGTTGGATTTCGAAGTATGAATATTTGTTACCGCAACTAGTTGGACAATGTATTTATAATTATTTCTTATCAATCGTAAATAAATATGATCCCTATTATTGCTACATGGAAATGTAGAAACATTGGAATAATCGATATATTGCGAGTATCGCTGCGCGCGCTAACATTGAAACGTGTAATTTTATTTTTTAGGAAACATCGACGATATCCACACGCAACAATAATCTGACGGAATACTATCAGTCTCTGCGCGACAACATGATCACTCTGCTAGAGCAAGTGCGAATACCGAACGCCCCGGGCGGGCCGCAAGAGAAAATAGGCCACGAGAACTTCGACAGTTATCTGACGAAGCTGCAGACTCTGTGCACCGCCGACGGCTACTGCGCCGACGAGAGCAACCGGCCAATCTACGAGACGGTGAAGACCGCTCTGCAGGACTTCACAGTTCTGCCGACACCCATCTGAGACCATCCTTAAAGATCAACGATCGGGTACTGAGCGTCGCTCGGGGCTCACGCGACCAAGCGATTCGACGTATTCATGACACGGATCGCAATCAATTCTCTCGCATGCTAAACGCGAGAGGATAGTGCTCAGTCCCTAGAGAGGACTGCGTCGATCGTGATCGAGCTCCGCGGATCGGCCTACCACCTCAGAGAAGTCCGAATGACGCGTGATTCATCTGGATGTTGCGGCGAGTCAGCCGTGAGTCACACATCGTCGTTCGCGTGATTTTCGGACTGCGTCACGAACTGCGACGTCAACCGCACTCCCGCAATCATGTGCGCAATCGGGTAACGACGTCAGTGAAAGTCGTCATGGCCGGTCGAGCGCACCGACCGGCGTGTTGGCTGTTAGTAAACGCTATAAAAACGGCATCTAACTGGATGACGGCTCCATGAGCATCTATCCGAGCTAAGCTTAAGGGACTATACTACGATTATATGAAAGACGACGTTGCTCATAGCGATATCTTTTGTACATAATGAATCTGCATCAAGAGTATCACGATCGACGGCGGCCGCTACCGCCACGTACATGTACATACACATAAAGAAAAAATGAAAAAAACGAAAGGACATACATTTATATATTATTCGACAGGTTGATGGTTGCTGCTCTAAGTCATGTAAAAAAATAATTAATTTAGCTCTATATCGGATTCTTGCCGCACTTACCGCTGTGTAACTGTTATTACCGTTTAAGCGATCAGCGCGCGATTTGTGAGGACCGTGTCTCGTGTCCGTCAATGACGCTTTTGCTGAGAAACCAAAGGCTACTTATAAACCAATTTATCGGCTAACCATTTATCAGCTAGTCACTATTATTATTATTACTACTACTATTATTATTACTACTACTGTAACTGTTACAACCAGCCGGATCGTTTTTAGTCACTAATCCAATCGTCATTATTGCTACCGCTACTCTTACTACTGTGGATAAAATATAGTCACGAGTATACCAACGTATTTATATATAATATTAAGTCAAAACGAGAGAAAGGTGCGACGCGTTGTCCATAGGCTGTATGTACATAGTCACAGAGATATACAATTATTATAAGGGCATGAATCGCTAGCGTTAACGAGCTGCAGTTTTGGCGGGAGGATGAGAGAGAGAGAGAGAGAGAGAGAGAGAGAGAGAGAGAGAAAGAGATGCTCGCGAAATCGCGTGATCTCTTCATTAACAATTATCAATCGTGAACACGATGCACTGTCGAATTTATGGCTATCCGAGAAGGGAGAATCGAGATTGATCGAGTCTCAATTGTTCCGCTAAAGATACAAAGAAGGATCGAGCTTCGCGTTCCTTCCGGATCGATGCGGCTAATTCGATCGAAAAATATTCGTTCGTATGTGCAATAATTTCAGAATGTGTCGCATTCTCTCCTGTACATTCGCGATCACTTACCGCACCGTGAAACACATGTACATTTGAATCAATGCGGTTGTTATTGTTTCGTTGATCTATTTGTGTTTTTATTTATTACATATTTGTTTAGCAGTTTAGATTGAGAAACGGGAAAATACAAGATCATGTAAATATCGAAAATCTGACTTTAAGTCATTCCCACTTCTCGTTAAAACTGCATTAGAGTATTATTATTAATATTAAATTTGGCAAAATTTTTGATTTCTTCGCTAATTAACTTTTTACATCTTATGTGTAAAACGATCGATCGACATAGATGCAAAAATCTTAATGTTATTAATATAGTACGATATAATACAGGAGAAACAAAAGCAACTTGGTTATAAATTAATATTTTGAAATAAATGTTTGCGTCATGTGTAATTAATATTAATTATGTTACTGGAAAAAATGCTCAATGTAATATAATATATCGAATATAATGTTTTAATGTCCTATGTTCTGAACCGTTATCAAGAGTACAGATTGATGATGTTAAGACCATTGTATAAAATAGCAGACATGTCGATCAAATTTTCAGTAATTGGCGACATTATTTGAAAATTATATTTAATTTTCTACAACTATGGGTGCGAGGTAATGTATATAAAAAAAAGAAAGAGGGAAACAGTTACGAAAAACTCAATCGTTCGCCTGAGAGGCTGATGTATGAGACGAGAGAGATGCGGGCAGATGAAGTAAATATACTTTAACCAACCACCGTGTAGTGAGAGTAATAACAAATTAAAGATAGCGATAGTCGACCGACAATTATGAATAATCTTGACGTTATAATTATTCTCGTCACTATCATTATCATTGTAATTACGGTTATCATTGTCACTATCGCCAAAGTAATTCTTTTACTTCGAGTTAACGCGATTGGCGAGTAAAAAGAAGGGGACGTGGATGAGGGAAAGATAGATAATCAAATCTACAGTCACGTTTTGACTTTCCTACCTCCCGTTCCGTTGCAATACGATTAATATACTCTGCGATATTCATTACTAGTATCATCATTATCGTCATTACCTACTAGTCATGATTATTATTGTTAATACTATTTATTAATATTATTATTTTTATTATTATTGTCAGCATTATTGTTTCTTTGTGATTACTATCGATTTATTGTCGCTATTGCCGTTATGTTTTTTGTCATAATTGCGATTATGATTGTTGCCGTTAATAAAAATCTAACAGGTATATAAGTTCAATAACATGCTTTAAGTAAGTATAAATGTTACTCCGATTGAATAAAAGGTATTTATCGATGAATACTGATCATTTTTCCCATATCTTGCGTGTGAATGAACAAGGGCGTAAACAAACGATAAGGAAATTTATATAGAAAAATCTCGTATTTTATATTTGCATTTTCGTTATAAAAAAAGTCTTATCTTACAAGCATCGCAGTTGCGTTGAACAGTGTTGCTTCATAATATTTACACGTATGTATGTATATGTATAATCGTATATATCACAATAAGATGGACGTGCGAATGGCTTTCGCATGAATGTGCTGTGCGCGCAAGTGCGTATTTAAAGAGACAAACACTAAGATGATGCGGTAGAAGAACGTTCTTCAGTAAATTACGCGCAGCTGAGCTTACGATACATTTAAATGCTCTATTATTCTGATTCCTCTTTAGATCATCGTGAGATCCTCTTTGAACGCGCATCGCATTCCTAACAATGTCCGAGAGTGAGAATATCGAGTGGAGCATTTGTCATCGCAATGAATAATTGAGCCGTTTATTTTCAAAGTAACGTAAGTCAAATTTTGAAAAACGACTAACAATAGTAAGAAATATGAGCACAAATCGATGCGATTTACTTATTTTGTAGCGGTACCTCTTCAACTTTCACATCACTTTCAAAATGAATTATGAATTCGACTAAAAACACATATATTAGAAATCGCGTGTTTGTTCCGTCAAGTTTAGAAGTTCGCCATCAATCAGACCTTGATTCAAATCATAAAATTAAATGAACAGTTGTTGTCCACAAGCCGAACAAAACGTCCGAGTGCCGTTACTTCACTCTGCGGTCACAAAACGGCCAAGCAATAGCACGGTCAATAGAAACCACAGATGTTGTAGTATAATTCAGCTCGGTATTTTTCATCAAGACATTGAATTAAAAATGAAAAGATATAGTATACAAATCTCCACATTTGCAATTATACATTGTGCCAATACATCGTTGTGCACTATTTTCGTACATCTTTATTTTCCCAGACGCGCTCGATTCCACGGAATATCTCTGCCAAATTTCTTTCAATAAATAAAAAAAGTTTGACAAACTCTTAGGCCGTGTTGAATAAATTCAGGTATCGCCATGAATAATGAATTCTAATCAACAGTTTGCTATTTCTTCGTAGATTACAGTGGAAACTATATCTATAATTATGAAGAAACAGTAAATTGCTGAGCGCTAAAGAACGTTGACAACAATATATTATATTCAATAATCAATAGCTTAAGCAATCGACATTTCAGACGCTATAAAGAGATCGATCCTCGTTCAATTCTCGTTCGCGGAAATGTTGAGCAATCTTTAAGTGGCTCAGTCCCGCAGACAAGATTTTGCGTAACCATGTATTCGTTCAGGCATCTTGCTACGACGAGGGCAAGTAACGGAATTGTCGTACGATCGTATTATTCGCAGTCTGCGATGTGATCGCTCTTCGCATTCGACGACAATATGTTGATACTCCGACTCGTCGCATACTTTAATATTTATTGGTCTCTATCTTCGGCACCACAATCTCACCTGAAACAGAGAAAGATCGAAGGGCTTGCTTTTGTTTGACTAATTCAGAAATTGCGATGAATATTCAGAATATCGCAATTGTGAAATAAAAGTTAGAAATATACAATATTAGCCAAAAGTTATTGAAATTAAGAACAATCCATTTTCTCTCATATATATAGATTTGATAATTAATTGTTCATGACAATGTTTTTATACTGAATTGGGAAATTTATGAGTAATCTTACCTCGCGTATGGCGGAGGCGGTGTTAGCGTAGGAGAAACGATACCAATGGTCGTCGGGATAATTTGTCCTGAGGATAACGGCGGCGTACTGCCATTGCTCAACCTGACTAATTGACTAGGATTTAGCTTGATAGCATCATCGTAGCTCGGCGGTGAGTCCGTCACCGCCTCGTAATCTGGCGGCTTTTGCCTCGACATACCGGATGGTTCTTCGATGGAAATCACGTGGATCGGGTCATCGATCTTTGAAAAAAGACGATTGTATGGATTAAATTTCGAATACCGCAATTACATAATTTTGCGCGCTTCGAAAATTACACTATTTATCCTCGCGGATTAATGAATAATCGCTACGTAAAAGATGAATAAAAAATTGCGTTTTGTTAATTTAGAAATTTCCGATGACTCATTACTCGTGTACGATAGCCCAATTACAGAAACTTCATAAAGCTTGTTCATAACTAAAAATACTGCAGTTCCGCTATTGTATTTTTAGAATTCTTCAGGTGTTTTTTGACTTCGCAGATTGGATTTAAAAGAATGTTTAATATTAGAACTTGTTAGAATTACGTAATTTAACCTTGTCAAGCACATATGACGTTCAATTCAAATTTGCCACGCGTTCCGAACACACGTTCGCAAAACAGAATATGTCAGACAATTAATCATCATGGTATCACACAATCGTGTCTATTTAAAGTATCCAGATCGACGTGTTCGGTTCTCGCGTTATTCAACGTGCTGCGTTATAAGGATATTCACCCGGAAGTGCATATCACGCTATATTCGTCGTAGGTCGTCTATAGATATCTACCTACGTATACAGTTCTCTCTCGGTACTCTTCGGAAACGCGTGGCCGGCTGAATGTAAGTCGCGAAAGGGCGCGTGCAAGATACATATAGGGTGACGCACGAGACGCGCAGTCGACGAGAATAGCCATGGGTTATTTGTGGCGATAAAGAAAGTTTAGCTGGAAAATTGCATAATGAGTCTAAATGGAAACACGAGGTGAACGACTGTGACCCCGGGAAGCCTCCTAGGAACTCGTACGAAATTCTTTCTTGGAAAAATACGCTCGGTTTGTTTGTTATCAGTAAGCATAATTATGACCTCGAAAAGAACCAATAGAACATATCAGGCGTAAAAATAACATCTCTCCATATGCTTCATAGTACAATACATCAAATTATGATAATTGCGAAAGTGCTAAATATACTTAATTGGGAATATCGTAACATCTGCCGCGTAAAATATAATAAGAAATGTAGTGATTAATATTCAATTTTTTATGCAAATATTTGTCTGGCAATTAATTACATTGTAACTAAACCGTATCGAGCAATAAAAAATTAATATTTTTTATGTAAAGAATGTGTCAAATTTACAAGATTTGATTGTAAAAATTTAAAAAATATGCGGAAGAATTATTCTGTCATATTTTTCAGTATAACGCAAATCTTTTAACGATTGAATTTCTTTTGGAAGATTCCTCAAATTTCTTTTATGTTTATCGCGTTTACGTATTATCTTGCTTCAGTGAAAATTAGTGTAGCGATAAGACCCTATTTGATAGGTTATCAGGAGAAAAATTTCCATTTCCGCCAACAGAAAGATTAATAAAGTATGTTTAAAATTTCTGAGACCCGAATGACACTCAAGTTTCTTGACTTAGAAAACTATTTTGTAAGAATAGATGAGATTGCATGATAGCACCGTGGCATGACAAGAATAGACGTGCACATAATTTCATGTGTCATGCGTTTCAGAACACAAAAGAGAAGCGAAAATGCATTCGACTCAACATAAAACAACCGTAAATGATATTGAAAAGATTACAGGTATTTCTCAGATGTGAAATATATTTCTTCGATAGCGGATTAGCATTCTCGGCTTAAAACCTTTCATTAGAATTACAAAGCTGCGGCAAATATATCCAAGGATAAGTGATGACAAATATAGCATGGTATACCCTTCCGGGTGAATATCCTTATTGTAGCAACCGACATTAGAGACTGCCACGACCTCCTTTACATGTCGAACCAACGCGCACTATATCATTTTTGCATATACAATGTTACAAAGCATGAAGAACGGATAAGCAAACGTTTGAAAATTGACAAGCTGTTTGTTTTGCACAGAAAATATTCGATAGCAATCTCTACGGAAAAAAATGTTTAATAAACTGTAGTAAATCTAAAATAGTGTTAAACAGATAAACAGGTGGAAAAAAACCGAAGCGTAATGTGTATCGTATCGAAGCAATAGATTTGTAGAGCACATGATTATTTGATAATTGCCAATTACTGCCAATGATGTATGAATTATTTATACATACAGAATATTTATATTAATAATACCCAATCTTGCAAATGAGTTCTTGAGGAAAAGCGAAGTCCGTAATTTCAATCAAAAGAAGAAAATAATAGTAACATGATGCAATCATGACTTTACCACTTTACTAATATGACGCGGTGTTAGATGAAGATTTCTGTCGCTTAAAATCTTTATGATATCACAAATATCAGGCGTTACACTTTTCCGGCAATGAAACATGCGACGAACGCGGATCGTGTTTATCAAACGTTGATGATTTATGAACGTCACGATATGGCATTTGATATATATGGAAATTTGCCCTCTCTGTCACTCTTTTTATATCTTTCGCTCTCGCTCGACTTTATTCGAGAGGGGAAAAAAAGTATCAGCTATAGTTCGCGGAGATGGGGTGTATTATTATTAAGCTTCTTATTCTGCGCACCGCCGCTGATAATTGCGACTTACTGCTGGGCTAGAGTATATCTATAGATAATACGCGTTCTTTGTGGTCTATAATAGAGGGTTGACCTGGATCGATCTAAAAGCGTTTTAATCCCCGAGGCCTTCAACCGCACCGCGACGACCTGCATCTTTTTGAATCGCCAGAGAGATTTTATACGATCGATATTTATCATTATTCTCAATATCGCAGATATACTGTCGAGAACGTCGGTGAAAAAGAATCGTTACGAACTTTGGCAAATATCTAATACAAAAAATTTTTTTTTTTGCGTTATTCTAGCCAAGCATGAATTTTAAGCAAATTAATAAACTTGCCATGTCGATGAATCAATAGTTGAATAATTACCTGAGCCGTGATCGGGTGGTTCGTGTGTTGCGTGTGCGTGCTCGTCCTAGTTGGCGGTGCGTGCAGCCAGCAACACATCGCGGCGCAAATGAGCAGAGCCCCAGCGACTATGCAAGCGACACCAACGTAACGTACCGGTTCGACATAGTTCTCTGCTAAACCTAACCAGTTTATGAGAGCTCCGACGCATAGAAGAACCATCCCGTACCGGTACGGGCGCTGCGATCTTCGAGATTCCTCCAAAGACATAGCTAAAACAGAAAATAGCGCTCTCTTAATGTTCTATCGACTTGTCAGATTTAATATAAAAAAACAAAGTTTTAATGCACGACACATTTTACGGATGTTTTTTTACCAAAAAGATAATTATTGGCAAAGAATAGCATGTATATGTAACATGAAAAAATGTTTGTACCGTGAAAAGAATATCTCAATTGGATTGGGCGTTGTTATAAATAGCTCGCAGTTGAGAAAGAAATGGCACTATCAATCACTTGATTTGACATTTATGACTACGAAACCAAGAATCGTTTCGTTTAATATTGAATGATATTGGTATAACAGTTGCCAAATATCAGTAATAGTTTATGAGTTTGATAACGCAAGACAATTATTACAAAATTATATTTCAATTAATGAATATGTAATCGTCAAATAATTATTAATATGTAAATATTTGATTAATTCTTTTAATGCTAACGGCAAAGCAGGAAAGTTGTCGACATCATTTAACTCGCACGGTTCTACTGTATCTAATACGTAAATAAATCTCTCATATCTTGCATTTGATAAGTTATATGAAATTCTAGATTGGTTATCGCATTCAATCATTGTCTAATCGAGTGTCAAGCTCTTGAATCCTTTCGCGATAGCGTCGAGAGCCTCGAAATTTTTTTTTTTAATTAAAGAGAGATTACCAACCCATGCATGGTTGCAATTAATGATTGTAATTCAATGATAACGAGGTTTTTATTAAGGTTCACTTCACGGAATAACAGAAAATACTTTTTGCATAAAAGACACATGCTTTTCTTGTCTGTAATATAGATCGACCATGTCATAGTGAGTTTATTGATGCAAATTGCAACTTTATTAAGACAGTGTTTGCTGACAATATTGACAAAAGCAGAATACGAGCAAATTGCAAGTACCTTGACGAAAGCTACGTTATACTTTTTAAAGTAGGTTATTCGTACAAAACTCTATTCTTGTAACATCAAAAAGAGTAATAAGCAGTGACGTCAAGAATTAAGTAGGTAAAAAATAATGTCGTCGTGTAAAATTAGCAAGTGAATCCAAATATATTTTGGTAGATATTTTTCGTTTTATTACTATTTTGACTTTCAATAAGCAATAAAGACATTCGCGTAATAAAAAATGACAAAAGAAAATCGTTATTAAAATTTAACAATTTCTAGAGAGAAATAGTAACTCGTATTTTTTATGTTTTTGATAAAAATATATTTATTTATATTCTTGTGATAAAAAAATTATTTTTCCTAAATTAAAAAATTTTAATTAAATTATATATTGACATTCGTACAATATCACGAAAGTGTGATTGCATAAATGGCAATTTCGTGGGCATATAATTGCATTCGATTTCATCACGGCATTAATGAATTATTCAAGAATTCAATTCATCAGCAGAACTTATCATTCTTATTCTTACATAATTCATCGGTTGAGTAGCTATAAATATTCTTCGATTATCTACAAAGTAGGCTACATGCAAACGATTATAACGCGCAGATAAACCGTATCGACATTAGGACAAGATCGATATTTGTCATATCTACATGCTGCTTCAGTAATAAACATCGTTTACTCATTGAAATCGTTATTATGTGTTTACCTCGCGAAAGTAAAATGAGGCAGTTTGTGAACTGTTTGTGTGTTGTTCCGACGCGGTATGCTTCGAAAACTATTCATTATCGCATCCATAATTAATCGTAATTTATTTTACTTTGATTATATCATTAACATCATTAATGATGTTAACGTTGATAAAGCATACTTAATGAGTATCGATAAAACGACAATGCAATTTGCAAATCACTTCATTATCTGAGTTAAATCAATACTGTCTATCGCATGGCTTATTTTTTAATGTTACAATTTCTTTTAGAAATGTCCGTATTTTTTATCGCACATCACAGATTGCAATTTTAAAAACTACGCAAGTTTAATTGATATAACATACTGTAATTAGTTTACCACTGGACTCGTCCATATTTTCGACTATCAGGAATAATATTAATGACACAACTGCTGTCTTTTGGCTAGCAAATTTTCTTGGCAACTAACATATCGCGCTGCGAATCGTCGTATATAAAGCGACACGAATTAATAGACAGAGAGAGAGAGAGAGAGAGAGAAATTGTCCAATTCTGAACGACATACGAACGTGAGTGTTTTTGAACGAGTCACCGAAATCGTAAAGATAAAGCATTTTATTTTTGAAACATTATCAGCTCAATCAACGTCAAGCTTGCCTAAACACGTGAGAAGATGCCATAAAACCGTCTTCTCGCGATGATACGCGTGTACATGCGTTGTGTGCAACGGAAATACACGCATCAGCGCAGACTTCGTATGCGTGCACAAACCGACGCAATGACGCGGCCGCGAAATTAATTCCAATTTACATACATACGCGAAGTGACATCCAAGGACGTGACTTGTATTACGAACCTTCTCAAGAGGCTAAACTATGTTCAATGAAGTAAAATATTAATTACATATATAAATTGTTTTGATGTAGGAATGCTACAATTTATTTAGTTTAAGCTCACAACAATTGTATCAGCAAAGATAATTTTGCATTGCAGCGAAGAAAGATCTAAGTATTTTAAAATTAATTAGCGTGAAATCGAGCTCTAATGAAGATTGAAGCTAAAATTTACAAATTACTTCCTGGATATTTATCGTAATAACAATGTTAAATGACATTATAATTTTTATTCACTATGTTTCTAAAGTCGTCTTATACAAGTGTAAAATTTTATAACATGTATAATTTCATTCAAAAATGTTCTTCATTTAAAACACATTTTTCTTCTTATCAAAATATTGATAATGTTTAATTACGGGATTTTGCTATTTAAATTTTAATAATCAGAAAGTCGTCGATTTATATTATTTTTTAATTAAATCAATAAAATAGTTCAAATTTACCCCCAATGTATAGTCATTAATAGATTATTCATCAAACATCATTAACAAAAGTTTTGTCGGACTTCACATTAGCAACTCATTTTGTACATTAATACATTAATTTTTTTTTAACTATTCATTATTGTGAAAGTAGTATAGAACGTATAATCAAATTTCGTTTAAGGAAAAATTAAGGATTTTATCGAACAATCTGTAAGATAGTATCTACTCAAGTAAAAAATTTGATTTATGGCTATCATACTATGCCATTACATATAACATGTACAAATAATATGTAATATGAATTTATAACCAATAAAAATAAGATAATTATGTATTCAATGTATATGCTTAAGATATATCTAAACAGTTCGCACTATTTGAATATACTTTCAGCTCGAAAGACACAAACTATATTTGACGTTCGAAAAATATGTTGCATATTTTATAAAAATTGTCTGAATGACATATTTAAATAAAAATTATAAAAATTTTCCATCAATTGACGAAGAATTTCATTATAAATAAAAGAAA